TGTCTCTGTGCTGGCCTTTCTCTGGGCAGGAGGAGTACTTTGGGCAGGGGGTTGCTAAATAATAGTCTGCTTAAGATTTGGCAAAGCTTTTTTGTAGGCACAACCTTTTTGTCTGTAACATCCTCAGGAGCTCAATTTTTCCCTTGCAACGTGAGCAGCAAAAGTTGACAAATAATATCTTGAATTATTTATCTGATTAATGTAGTGATCTTTATTGTATAAATCATTGAAGAAACCCCTCTCACTGTTCCCTCAGGTGAGCAGGAGCAGGCAGGGCAGAAGCAGAGCATGAAATGGCTGTTGGTGCAGAGTGACAAAGAGGATTTAAACCCTCCCATGTTGCTCAGGCCTTCTCCTAAGAATCCTGGTGGCCCAATGCAGAGCAGCCACTGGGACCTGTTGGGACTGGTTTGCTTTTACCAGCTGTCTATGAAGCAAATCTCTTGGTTTATTATTCTATTCAAATCATTGGTGCTCATAATTTTTTGAATGCTTTTGCCTCGTGATAAATGTGTCAACTGTTTGATTTTTTTTCTTTCCAGGGGAACAAGTAGAATAATCTGTAAGGCTCTAATTTAAAAGCACCTCTAGTTAAAGACAACTTGCAGAAAGGTATTGAGATATTCTGTTCTTTTCCTTGGCTGAGGCTGACAAATCAAAATGCCAAGGCTTGTTGAGGAGTGTTGAGTGCCAGCCATGAAGGAGTTCTGAGGTTTGGTCCTACCAGAGAACTGAAATGGAGCTTTTGCTCCCCAAAATACCCAGGCAGAGGTGGGCATCCCTTAGGAATCCCTCTCCCTTAGGAATCCCTCTCCAGCTCAAAGCAGGGAGCAGCAGGAGGAGGGTCCTGGGCAGACCAAGCTGTTTTGGTGCTGTTCCTGTGGCAAAGCCTTGGCTGAAAGAAGAGAATAAAAGTCAAGGTGAGGGGAAGCCTGAACCACCTTCAGGCTCTGAGAAGGAGGGAGAACAGAGCAGCCAGGGGCTGCAGGGAGGCAGGAGGGGCTGCAGGGAGGCAGGACTGGCTTGGCCACTGCTCAGCAGCCACAATCTGCCACATCCTGGGTCCTTCTGTCCCCTGCTTTCCTCCCCCAGCCAGGCCTGGGAATGAGAACATCTCCAAACTTCCCAGTAACTTCCCAAATGTCCCTGGGCCCAAGTGTAACCAGTCTTGGAGGATGCTGTGCTTTTCTTTTTGAACTATTTTTGCCAACCTGCTGCAGCCCTGTTGAGATCTCTTCTTCCCCATCCATTGCCCCCATCTCTGCTCTCTGCAGAGCAGACCCCTGGTTTCTGGCAGTGTTACAGGCACCCAGCTGATGCAGGGCTTGTTCTGCAATAAACCCAGTCCAAATTAAAATAAGCCCTGGATTTTGCTTTTCCAGAATTTAGGCATTCAGCCACTTTGTATATAAAGGTCAGACTGTTCCTGATGGTGAGTTGCCCACCCTCTGTACAATATCTCCTGTGGGGGAAGCAGAATTTTCCTTCTGCTCTGGCTGCAGCCAGGTTGGAGTTGCTGGGTTGTGGAGGTGAGAATGAGCCTGCCAGGGAGGAGCAGCAGAGCCTTACAGTGAATAATGCTGCAAGAATTTCTGAGAGAAGGTGGCTTTGGCAGCTCTCTGTGCACTGTAGGATCTGTTCCTACTACATGTAGCAAGGACTTGGGATGATTAGCATGAAATTGAATTGTGTTAATCAATCTCAGGCAGGAGTAGAGCACAGAAGTGATGAGCCTGTAATTTCATTCCTTCCCATCCCTTAACTAACAGAGCTGCAATCCCAGCTCAAAGGGGAGCAGCCACTCCCCTTTTGGGCACTCTGAGTGCCCTTTGCAAAGGAACAGGATTCTGATTCACTGGAGCAGCCCAGGGCTCTCCTGGTGATGAAGTGGACACTGGTTCATTAGCATTTGGTCTTGTCCTTGCCCTTAGCTCAATGTCTGGGAACAACAGTTGGTTTAAAATAGGCTGGAATGAAAGCATTAGAGGGCTGGGACAGGGTATTGTATGGATGTGAATGTATTGTATTCCCAAATTTAAAAATCCAATAAGATACCTGATTATAGTCAACAAAAAATGCAGTCCTGCATCAGAATGTAAAAATGGGTGTCTTTACTCTTTGTTCAGAGAAAATATCAAGGGTGCTCACAGCACATCATAGAGGCATTAAAGTCATTCAGTTGTTTGTGGAAAGTCCAGATTCTGCAAATACTTAACTGTGGTACGTGTGTAGTCACAGTGAGATTGGGGGGAAATCATAGAATGAAGTTACCTAGGATGGAAGGGACCTTTAAGATCATCAAGTCCAACCATTCCCTTAACACTGCCAAGGCCACCACTGCCCCCTGTCCCCAAGTGCCACATCCACAGGGCTGTTAAACCCCTCCAGGGAGGGGGATTCCACTCCAGCCTTTGCCAATATTCACCAACCTTTAGGTGAAGATGTTTTTCCAATATCCAAATCTAAACCTGCCCTGGCCCAGCCTGAGGCCGTTCCCTCTGCTCCTGTCCCTGTTCCCTGGAGCACAGCCCGACCCCCCCGGCTGTGCCCTCCTGTCAGGAGCTGTGCAGAGCCACAAGGGCCCCCTGAGCCTCCTTTGCTCCAGGCTGAGCCCCTGCCCAGCTCCCTCAGCTGCTCCTGGGGCTCCAGACCCTTCCCTGGACACCTCCAGCCCCTCAGGGTCTGCATTGTCCTGAGGAGCCCAGGGCTGCCCCAGCACTGGAGGTGCCCCAGAGTGCACCTGCCAAGCCCTGCCCTGCTCCTGCTGGACACACTGGGGCTCATCCAAGCAGATTTACTCTTCTGAAATTTAATTTCTGGAGGAGAGAAGCTTTCATTGTTTTTAAAGTGTTTAATGGCAGTCAGTTGCTAAACATTTCAGCAAGCATTTCCAATTGTTTTCAATTTATGGAGACATAGTTGATGTTTTGGTTTGGAGACCACTATAAACTTGGACATTACCAGCAAATGAAATATAAATTTATATTTGGCTTTACAATGTTAAGTAGAGTAACTACACTATACCTCAATCCTTCCTGCAAGCCACTGTCCTCTAAAATAGAAGGCATTATTGTGGTGGTATTCAGAAATCACTGAACATTTACTGTGTGTTGTTCAGAAATTACTTTTAATTGAAATAGAACAAAACTGGCAAAGCTACGTAGCTGGAGAAAGTATTCAATATTCCACAGCTTACCACAGACTACCACAGCTTTCATAATATATTGATTTTGCCACATTAAACACGATATGTGATGCCAGGGCCCAGACTGAGAACTTGTAGCATGAATAATTTACCAGCTAGATGAGTGAGCCTGTCTCCAGCAGTATGGGGAGAAAGAGCCCTGTGAGCTGAGGCTCTTTTTATTATTATTATTATTATTTTTATTATTTATTTACCAGCTAGATGAGTGAGCCTGTCTCCTGCAGTATGGGGAGAAAGAGCCCTGGGAGCTGAGGCTCTTTTTATTATTATTATTATTATTTTTATTATTTATTTACCAGCTAGATGAGTGAGCCTGTCTCCAGCAGTATGGGGAGACAGAGCCCTGTGAGCTGAGGCTCTTTTTATTATTATTATTATTATTTTTATTATCAATTTACCAGCTAGATGAGTGAGCCTGTCTCCAGCAGTATGGAGAGAAAGAGCCCTGGGAGCTGAGGCTCTGCTCCCAGAGCCAGGAGCTTCCTTGGAAGGGGAACATGTGATGTTCAAAGGCCTCTGGAGGGTGAGGAGTTGTACAGCAAGCAGGAAATGTCTCACTCATCTCGTGGCTTCCCTTCCCTGCTGAAGATGTGAGAAGTTTTGTGGATGCATGTCTGGGCAGAGTTCCAGGTGCTCCTGCTTGGAGAAGGCAGAGGGCTCTGCAGGGCAGGGCTCAGGAAATGCTGCTGCTGCCTCTTGTTCAGCTCTGGGTGCAGGCACTGCTGCAGGGTGCAGGGAAGGCTGCAGAGGCCTTTGGGTTCAAGGATGGATCTGTCTGGAACAGAGGGTTTGCTCACACAGAGATTCTGACCTGGGGATTGTTCTGCAAAATGAATCACGAGAACTGCAGGTAATTCCAGTTCTGTGGAAACAAAAACTTGGTACCTCACAGGACTTCACCAACACAGATGCTTTTCCACAGAGCTGCTCACATCCACTGGTTCTGAGAGGTTTCTGACTTGCCAATTTTAATGGCTTTGTTATTTACAAGCTAACAATTCCTCTGTCCCTTTTCCTCACCCAAACACCCAATACTCTGCCTCCTTTCGTCATTCCTTCCTGTTTCTTAAGGGCAGGACTGAGAGAATGAACCAATGAGAATGAACCAGAGAGAATGAACCAAACAAGTGGAAATGCACAACAACTAACATATATTTTGAGTAAACCAGCAAGCTGACACTTAGTGTGACAAGTGGAGGAGGAAATTGGAAGTTGATAAACAGGAATTGTTACTGGTTTTTTACAAGGAAACTATGAGAAGATAAATGGTGGAGAAATGTCATCCTTCTTTCTCATCTTCTCTGTCTCCTTACCCTCCCTTTGCATGGATTTATATGAAAACTTGTGGTTCAGAAAGTGTCACATGTTCCTGATCAGATCTCCCAACCCTCTGTAAAAGGGGAGGGAGTTCACACATCTGTTCAGATGCAGACCTGCAGGAAATTCATGTAAAGAAATTTCTGTTTGTGGATTTGAATCCCTGAGTGGGAACCTGACAAAATTGTTGAGGTTTTTCTAACCACAATTTTAAAAAAATGTTGCTGTCTTCCTAAACCCAGACACAGTGTGGGAAATTAAAGGACCATGAAACCCTGGGATATGAAGAAATGCTAATAAAAAGTGATTGTACTGAATGGTTAAGGTTTTGGATTCCCAGAATTAGCCATGCCAGCCTTTACATTAACTTGGGCTTGGTTCTGAGGTACAAGCTCTTTGTCATAATGTCAAAGCCCAGATTATTCTAATTACTGTTATCAGTGTAAAACTTGTGTTCACTCTTCTTCTTTGCTTGAAGGAAGCCTCAAATGAGTTGAAGTTCTGGTCTGGAGTCATGGTCATGCCTGGGTACAAAGAGCCTCTGCTTGTAGCTGTTCAGAAAAAAAGGAGTCCAGACTGTGGTGAGTGATACAGCAAAAAGGTGGTGCTTGGGGCATTATTCTGACTGAACAGTTTAATCAAATATTATCTTGGCAGAGATGTCAGATTTTGTCATTTTTTCTTCTGTACTAGTCTGAAGACAAACCAGTGAGAGATTCCAAATCAGAATAACAATTGAATCGAAAAATTAAACTAAAGGCAGAAAAACACTGTCTTAAACTGACAGAGTTAGGATATAACCTGACACCCTGTTAGGGTGTTGGTAGCAGTCTGATTTAATGGAGGCTACAGTGTTACTGGAGTGATAAATGTGATTCTCTTGAAGCAGGGATCCTGCAGAAGGGTCTGGTCTCCCTCTGAATGTCCAGTGGTGGTTATGGAGCTCTTGCTCTCTGGGAATGCAGTGGGCAAAGGCTGCTGTGGTGTTCCAAACCTCGGATTCTATCCAGGTAGGAGTGCTTGATTCCTCCCCCTGGGTGGAGCATCTCCCAGTGGGATGATGGAATTTATCAGTCATGCAGTGAGACTTGGTGGCCCATTTAGCAGAGACAGAGCCCAGAGTTATCAAGGAAGAGCCATGGAGGAGATAAGGAGCACTGCCCCACCTGTTGTAACAGCTTATGAAGGTGGTAATAGAATACACACTTTTGATTACATATCCTGCATTGTAATCTCAGACATCTTCACATCAGAAATCCTTGCTTTTGGAATTTCTTACTTCCATTTTACTCTTCCAACCCAATTGAGAGGACAAGAGCAAAAGCTGGGCTAGGGGAGGGTCAGGTTGGACACCGGGAAGAATTTCCCCATGGAAAGGGTGGTCAGACATTGGCAGGGAGGTTTGGAGCTGCCATCCCTGGAGGTGCCCAAGGAAGGGCTGGACGTGGCACTCAGTGCTCTGGGCTGGGGACAAGGTGGGCATCAGGCACAGGTTGGACTCAATGACCTTGGAGATATTTTCCAACATTAATGATTCCATTTTCCAGGAATGGAAAATATTTCCATGTTTCCACTGTGGTAGAGGATCTCTCCCAGAGCCTTTCAAAGGCACCGGGGAGAGGAAGCTGTCCTGGGGCAGATCTGTGTGCAGCCGCCCACGAGTCCCTGCTGTGGTACTGGTGCTGGCTCTGCTGCCTGGGAACAACTCATGGGGCTGCCCCAAGGGGCTCTGGGGCTCATTTTTGCTCAAGTTTTGAACACCCAGACCCCCAACCCCCAGTGGAACTGCTGAGGGTTTGCATGACAGCACAACCTTTGCCTTTTCATTTAGCCTCAGACCTGATGTAATCTCTATTCCAGCAAGGAGGTGTGTTCTGAAATTAAAACCAGCTGGTGATAAGTTTAGAAGGGTGATAAGTTTAATAGTATTCATGAGTTTAATCTCTCCTGGCAAACTGAATTCACCATGATAGTGAAAGAGAGGCGTTACCAGGCAATTAAATTGTTTTAGGTTTCAGACAAGGACTTTAATGGATGCCTGATACGGTGCTTTAATCCCACATCATACAATTATTTCTTGTCAAAAACTTTCTAAAAGTGGGAAACAAAAAAATATCCAGCTTAAAAATGCTTTTTATATGTTCATTTAAAATTATTGGAACAATGCTAGAGAGCATATTGCTAACTCCACTTTTCTTTTTAAATGAGAAGTCTTGTTCGTTCGAAGACCAAGTCTTCATTTTTCTGTTAAAAATTAAAGAGGGTTTTCCACACTGGATTAAAGAGGCTTCAGGGTTTAGAAGGCCTTGCTAAAGCATATAGAATATATTGCTTAAAACTAAGCTGGTGTGAGCCTCCAGCTCCAACATCTGTTGAAGAATGAACAGAATAAAAAAAGCGTAATCGCCGTGAACAAAGAGGGAGATAGGATTCTTGAATTGCTGAATGGGACTTTCTGGTACCACAGTCAGCACAGCAACATTTGAACAGTCCCCAGCAGTAAATTCAGCAGTGGAGCTCACATCTGTATTGTTTTATCTGCTCTCAGATTGCAGGGAGTTCCCATGTGCTGGGTACGGCCTTGCTGCCACACGGCCGGGGCTGTGTTTGTTTCTGATAGCCTTGTTCCCAGCCCTCAGGAGAGGGGCAGGACAAACACCTGCAGCCTGGGCAGTTCACAGAGCACACAGGGCTGAGATGTGGCTCTGCACCAGCCTCTGGCTCTCACCTGAGCAGCTCCTCTGAAAAGGATCCTCCTCTCAGCAATGTCAGAGGTTCCTGTTACAGCTGCTCATAGACACAGATCTTTGTGCCCATCAACACAGAGAGAAGAGCACAAATGTGGGCTGAAAAGCAGCACATTCTGTGATGAGAGAGCTGCAGGTATGTCAGGCTGTAAGGGGAGAGCAAGGGTGATGGCCCCCAATGTCTTCAGGAGCCTCCTGAAATGTCAGTGGTGTACAGAGCCAGAGCAGAGCCAAGGTGCAGCCTGCAGCTCCTCCTGAGGGACAGCTCCCATCCCTGCAACTGGGACAGGGACAGGGCCCAGGGAAGGCTGGAGCTGGGCCAGGGCAGGTTTATGTTGGATTTCAGGAAAAGCTCTTCTTTCCCCAGAGGGTGCTGGCACTGCCCAGGGAATGGGCACAGCCCTGAGGCTGCCAGAGCTCCAGGGATGCCCAGGCTGGGATTGTTGGGGTGTCTGTGCAGGGCCAGGGCCCAGACTGGATAATCCTTTGGGTCCCTTCCCACTCAGGACATTCTATGGTTCTACTGCTGTTTATGTGCTCTTTAAGAGCAAGAATTGTCACAGACCTGTTTTATGAAAAATCCTTTCTTTAGGAATTTTTCCTCCTGAGAAGCTGGGAGGCCTCAAGAACAAAATGCAAACAATGATTATCTGCTGCTGTGGAATGCAACAGGTGCATCTGGGATTGGTCTCATGGGGTTGTTTCTAATTAATGGCCAATCACAGTCAGCTGGACTTTCTCGGGCAGTCACAAGCCTTTATCATTCCTGTTCTATTCTTAGCCAGCCTTCTGATGAAATCCTTTCTTCTATTATTTTAGTATAGTTTAATATATATCATAATAAATAAAGCCTTCTCAAACATGGAGGCAACATTCTCGTCTCTTCCCTCATCCTAAGACTCCTGTGAACACCACACAAAGAATTTTACATTATTTTCTTCTGCTTCCTCTCTAATCCCCAGGGAGACACATCAATGCCCTGTATCCACAGTGTATATAATAATTTACTGTAACACGTCATATTCATCTTCTGGGGTCTATATGGGGAAACATTTTAGGAGACTCAGGAAATTGCACATGTTTTTTTCTTCTCCACAAGGGTTTCTTTGGCCTCTGGAGAGGATGCTTCCTTGCTTGAAAAAAAGACATTCTTTGGATGTATTTGGATAATGTTCATTGCATAGACTCTGTGACTTGTGAATGAGCATGAAAATTAATCTCCTTCTTAAGAGGGTATGTAGACAAGGGGAAGCTTGAGAGATTGTTACATCCTGTTTGAGGATATATCAAGTGAATAGAGCATAATGTTATTCATAATGATACATTTCTCTCTGACATTAGCATATTATACCTGTATAGAGACTTAAAAACCAACTGCTTCATTAGTGAAGGGCATGTGCATGTTTGCTGTAATGCTTCAAACTGTCACTTTGGGCTCTGCTTAAAAGGACAAATTAGGCACTTCTGGGTTTGACTGAAGGCAGCTGAATGTATTGCTCATAAAGTCTGGTGTATTAATTTGTCTCTCTGCGATTCACCCAGGGGTGCAGCTCCTGTTTTGAGGCCTCAGGCACACATCTGAGCTGTGGACAGAAAAAGCAGGATGTGTCTCTGTTTGCTCACAGGGGCTTCTTGGCTCCATGAATCAACAGAGGCTTTCTCTTAAATAAACTGAGGATGTGAACCTTTGGATAAACGGCCAGATTTATGCCTCTGTCTGTGAAAAAATAACAGGGACAGCCAAACCCTTTGTCTTGTGCTCCATTGTTTGTCTTTCTGGTGGTACTGTCAAGCCACACTGACCAAACCCACCAAATTAAGAATTGCTCAAAATGTGTTTGGTAAATGTTGAAGCTGTCTTGGGTGTTCTGCCCTCTTTCCCAACACTAAACTGAAATAATAATTAGCATCTCCAATTCTGCCTTCCTCTCATAATTAAGGGTTTGCATAACTGGGAATGCACAATTGTTGGGAAAGCAGCCTTTGGAATCCCTCAGGATTTCTTTTCCATTTTAAAATCATAAACAATGTTGGTGTTGACCTACATAGCCTCTGATTTTTCTTTTTTTTACCTAAATTGCTGCAAAGGCTACTAATTACAGCATACTCAAAAGTAAATTACCAAGCCATCAGTAAAAATTACATTAAAAGCAGCATTATTTCCCATAACATTAATAAGCCCTTTTCGGGTGTGATTTATTTTTGCAACAATTACTGTACAGTCTCCTGGAAGATGTATTTCTGTGTAGTTAATATAATATACATGTATGCAATTTTCCATTTTAGTGCCTATGGATTGCTTCATTTTTCATCTGTATTAGGCTATTCTTATAATTTCCTCTGGGCTTTCAGGAATGGCAGACATCAAGGGAAAATTGGAGTGCTAAGTCCTGTGGGAAATGCAAAAAAGCAAATAGATCAGAGTCGAATGGAAAGGACTGAGTTCAAGTGCACTTGCATCATGAGAATTTAAACTGCCTTCCAACCTTTTAGAGATCTGAAAGTATTTTATTGAAGGAACTTGGCTTTTATGTATTTTACTGGGAAATGAATTGTAATTGTGAGCCAGGTCCTTGTGCATGTAAGGAAGTGTGTCCATTCTGCTCTGTTTGACAGCCTCCAAGCTGACAAGGTGAAGATGAATGTGTTTTGCTCTCAGCTGTATCATTTGAAAATCTTTTGAAAACTTAGGTACAAGTTTCTTTACCTTCTGTACAAGTTACTGTAGCTCAGGAAGTTTTATATAATGCAAGCTTAGTTCTCAAAATTCAGATTTGCTACTTCAAATGTCCAGGGTTGCAAGGCATACTGGTATCAAAATATAAGAGAAGGTA